AAGTCTTAATATTTGGGTAAGATTAATTAAGATATTAAGTTTTACTAACTACTTTAATATTTGTACTTGATTTACACACCATTGGTGCTTTTCTAATACATGTGCTGGTCCATTTTCCCTTTCCTCCTATAATTGTCCTTGTTCAAAACATTTATATATATATATATATATATCAATAAAAAAGACTATAAATAAATCTTTTTAAAAGGAAAAAACTTTAAAAAAAAACTAAAATTATATATATAAAAAAAAAACTCTTAAAAGCTTAAATCTTCAACAGCGAATTTCACCTCCCTAACCAAATTTCCTGGGTCCGTCCCTGGATCGGACTACATTAATTTATATGAAAATGCTAATTAAACTCTGAACTCATCGAGTTTCTTTTCTGGAAGCAGTAATTTGAGGGGTTCTGTGGCGAGTTTGACGGGGCCAAAGTATGACGGGAAGTACCTGAAAACGATGGTAAACCAGTTTCTGGGAGACATGACCCTGAAACAGACACTAACCAATGTGGTCATACCGGCTTTTGACATCAAACTCCTCCAGCCAGTCATCTTTTCAACTAGCGATGTATGAACAACATAACATATAGTTCCTCAAATGCTGCTTCTTATAATGTTGTAATCAAGAAGCTTCCTTTGGAACGAATTTGATCCAATCAGATCTTTTCTGTGGGTACAGGCGAAGAACGATGATCTGAAGAATGCTAGGCTAGCAGACGTATGCATAGGCACCTCTGCGGCTCCTTGCTTCTTTCCTGCGCACTACTTTGAAACCAAGGATTCTAGTGGTAAATCACGCAGCTTCAATCTAATTGATGGAGGAGTTGCTGCAAATAACCCTGTGAGTATATTTATTTCTGTTTTCGTTTTCAGAAAGTCTCAAAGTTTGGTAACAGAACTATAACAATGGTTTTGTCTTTACCTAATCCGATAGATATATCTATATATATATATATTTGGCTAGTGTACTCCAATTCTCTAAATCCTCAATCTCATTTTTCAAAAACATGAAACAGAGAAAAGAGCAAAATGAAAACATAACTAAAACGACCCTTAATTTGGTACTTAGAGTTAATAACAATTTGATAATTGGCATATGTAGACGCTGTTGGCTATGACCCAAATATGGAAAGACAAAGAGGAGTTTGCGGAGATAGGACCGGTAGACAGTCGGAGGATGCTAGTGCTGTCGCTTGGCACCGGTTCAGATAAAGAAGAAGAGACGTACGATGCGGCCGTAGCCTCTAAATGGGGCATGGTTAACTGGCTCTATGACGGTGGAAGAACTCCGCTGCTTCACTTTTTTGCCGATGCAAGTTGCGATATGGTTGACTTCCATGTCTCCACTTTCTTCCATTGCCTTGATTCAAAGGAAAATTATCTCCGCATTCAGGTAGCAATCATTTTTTTTTTCTTTGGAAAGTGTTTGGTTGGAATGATGATTAGAACATTACCAAGACTCGAATCTTGACATGTTAGAAATCAGATATAGGTGTGTTATGATTGTCTAACCACAAGGATGAAAGCAAGTTAATGTTTTCCTTAGGAACGTGGCAGCCTCATTCTTTAGTTTCTAAACTTTCAATAATGGGTTTTTTCTAAAGGAACAAATAATACTTTTTTGTTATGAATATATATATAAAAAAATATAAAATTTAACATTAATTTTAATATTATTGTTAAATGAATAATTAAATTTAATTAAATAATTGTAAATTAAATGTCAATTTTTACTTTTTCAATACAAATTTATGATAAAAAAATATATTTATTGCACTTTTAATTTATACCTTAAAACATATATGAGAAAAATCCTTCATTAATTTATCAATCAGGTTCTTGAACATTTTTTTTTTAACTAACTCAACCCCTTAATAATTTTGTTGGTTTTTACCTTTTAGATTCTATAATTCTTTGGGTAATTATAGGTTGGGCAAATACATGATGGATGTATATTCCAAAATTTTGATTTGTTTTTATTTAAATACGAAGATACAAACATTTGAGAACATTTGAGGGATTGATGATTGACTCGAATGTTTGAATCCTAAAAATGTTTAGTTTAGAGAAATGCCTATCCCCTTTTGAATTGTCAATGACATTTAGATACTGGTTAACAGGATGACACATTGACTGGTAATGCATGCCGACTGGACCTTGCAACAAAGGAGAACATGCAAACTTTGGTGGAAATCGGAACAAAGCTGTTGAAGAAGCCATTATCAAGGGTGAATTTGGATAATGGCAAGCTTGAGTCAGTCAAGGGAAATCATACCAATGAAGAAGCTCTTGCTACCTTTGCCAAGCGGCTTTCAGAAGAGCGACGGTTCAGGCAAACAGAGATTTAATCTAAGCTTTTTGTTTATGAAAAGGCTTCCTCTACTTTTGATATTATTTTCAATTAATCTTGAATAATAAAAGAAGAAGAATACTAGAGACAAATACAATTACCTTCTATTTGATGCACTGGATTCACGTTTATGTATGGGTGAAAACTATGGAACATTTTTTTTTCTCTGAATATTACCGAAATGATTGAAATAAAGTTTTAAAGTTTCTTTACTATTTATCAAAAAAAAAAAAAAAAGTCTCTTTACTACCTTGATAACTCTTTTGAGCCCCTAACAATTGTTTTAGTAAATCAAATATATCACTTACAATTACAATTCCTTCTCAACATGAGATTAGTAACACTGCAATACACCATCTGAAGAAATTTATGTACAATCAATTATAATATATTATAGTTGAAACAAAAATCCACTTTTTATGTTCTAGAATACAGTAATAGATTTTTTTTAATTTTATCTTTAAATAAAGAAACATGTTTATGATATTTTAAATAATTCAAATCAAAATATAATAATAAGAATAATGTAAAAAAGTATTTATTTTTTAAATTATAAAAATAATAATTAACCTGAAACAGGTTTTTATTTAAAAAAAGTCTATCATCAGAAAGAATATCACAATAATAAACCTCTCGTACAAAATGAAATTCCCGTATATGTTCTTATTTTTATTATTATTTTTTTAAAGTAGGAAATTCTTCTGTAATATACATTGCCAAGCTGGCAGAGGTAGAATTCGGGATTTGCCTGTTCGGCCTAATGCTGCGCATCCCGATATTCCCTCTACTAATTACTTTTCCTTTGGCATTTTTAATTACTATTAGGACATGAAGCAAGTTTTTGATTCCAATGATTCGTCTTTAAATGTTATGTATTTGAATATAATTGGTCAAAAATTAGATTTCCACCAACTCATTAAAAAAAAATCTTCCTTCCCCAAATTCCCCATGTTCAAAAAAGAAAAAAAAAACTACTATTTCAATGTATAGATTAAGACAAAATAAAAAGGATAATGATAGTAAATGAAACGAAAATTTTAAATAAATGATACTATATGATTATAATGTTTAAAATATTAAAAAAGTAAAATTTGTATTATTTAATAATTAATTTTTTTAAAACTTGTAATATCATAAACAGTAACTTATTTAATAATATAATTTATAGTATATTTTTAATTTCAAATTTTAAATTCAAATTTTATTGTTCTACACCACACAACTAAAATAAAAATAGAAATAATATGGGTTGAAACTTCATTTTGAACTTTTAAATTACTCACCCCAAACGATAATACAAAATTACAGCAATTAATAAAGAACTTACAAACGTGCCTCTCGGGGATCAATCATGATATTGTTAAAAGAGTATAAAATTCGATTTATGTTCGTCCATAGACCATAGTTATCATAATTATAAAAAAAAAATTAATCGAGTCCAAGGCTCATGTGGCACAGCCAGCCTGCTAAAATTCCCTTTTCCTGTTATAAATACAGAACTTCGTCAGACTGCTGCATCCTTGAGTTGTTCTTGTAACCAAAATGGCTCAAAATTTTTGAAGAAGAAAAGATGGTCACAGTGCTAAGCATTGACGGAGGTGGAATCAGAGGCATTATTCCGGGTACGCTTCTTGGTTGTCTCGAGTCCCAGCCCCAGGTAAGCACTTGATTTTCCCAAACCTTATTTCGAAAAATTATTCACACAATTTTATTTCACAATTACAGTTTTTTTTTAACAAGATGTATCTGTTTGTATATATTTGTGAAATTAATAATTAAGATTGTGTATGTAGAACTCATTTAATTAATTTTGAAGTGTAAATTAATATTATTAAGAAAAAAGGTTTCATAATTCAGACTATATAACTAATTATTAGATTGAGATGAGTGGCATGAGCTCTTTAATATTGAAGGTTTTTTTTTTTTATATTTAATAGAATAATGATAAATGAGATCAAATTTTATTATTAAAATTTAAAATTAATGATATAATATAAATTATGTTATTTAAAATATTAAAAAATAAATTTTATATTATTTAATAATTAATTATTTTTATTTTTTTGAAACTATAATATTATAACCATTAACTAATTTAATAATTTAACATAACTCGCATCATTGATCTCAATTTTTATCTTAAATTGTTATCATCCTCATCTTTACTTTATCTAATAACTTATATTTTATAATTCAATACATTTTAAACTTTACAAGATAAAACTTATATTTTTAATACTCTTTTTTTTTGGTCTTGTAGGAATTGGACGGACCAAATGCACGAATTGCGGACTATTTTGACGTCATTGCAGGAACAAGCCTTGGAGGGATGCTAGCCACCATGCTTACAGCTCCCAACAAGGATAACAGATCCATGTACGAGGCAAAGGAGATTATTGGCTTCTACTTAAAGCGCTGTCCCAAGATTTTCCCTCAGAAAGGGTAACAATCGGTCCAATTTACTTGAATTTGGGACTTTATATACAATAACGAAAGTGAATTTTTTCCCCACAGCTTATTTTTTACACTTGATCCTTACCTCCTAGTTAGCATGTGTCATGTCCACATGACTACCATGTGACTTTATTTTAATATGAAAAATGGTATGCAAACAACTTAATTTAATGTATAATTTTTGTTTACAACTCTAAATATCAATTAATAATTAGTTATTTTCACTCTATCATGATTTATAATAATAAATACATATATGTTTAAGTAAAATAAAGTAATTTAACAGTTACGTAAACATACCATATTGGGAGTTGAAAAATTATTATTGACATAATTACGAATTAGAATCTTATTACATCTTATTGCATATGTTTAAGTTTTATATAATTTATACAAAGTTTTTTAAATCTAAAAGTTTAAAATATATTATTAAATATATCTATTTAATGTCACAAACTTGATCATTTCTTTTCTAGGAGCAAGTATTTCAGGGGCTCACTAGCAAGTTTAATGGGACCGAAGTACAGTGGGAAATACCTGAGAAGGATGATAAATCAAGAGCTAAGGGACATCACCCTAAACCAGACCCTGACCAATGTTGTTGTACCGGCTTTTGACATCAGATTCTTTCAGCCTGTAATTTTTTCAACTACCGAGGTACCAAGAAATAACAGATTACACATCATAAATTTCTTTTGAAGAGTTTAGAAATTGAACTTCCTTTCATTGTTTTGGTACAGGCCAAGGCAGACACTCCGAAGAATTCAAGGCTAGCGGATGTATGCATAAGCACATCCGCAGCCCCAACTTTTCTTCCAGCACACTACTTTGAAACCAAGGATTCTAGTGGCAAGACCCGAAGATTCAATCTTATTGATGGAGGAGTTGCAGCAAATAACCCTGTAAGTATAACTCAAAGGCAGGCTATTTATCTATATTCCGAAAAATAATTGTACTCTTACAGTATTGTAAGGATAGGTCCGAGGTACAAGTAAAGGATTTCTCTGTCATTAGCCTTTGTCAGCAGAGGGGGTGAGCTAAGACAAGACTTCAGCTCGTCAAATGCAGCTTCGCATTCTGAATTCCATTCGAATTTCTTCTGTTTTCCAGATTCATCCTTCTAGGTTGCCAATCTCATGATCTTGAAAAATGGCAGGCATTTATCTGCTAATTTTGAGATGAATCTATGAAGAGCTGCCACTCTCCCTGTCAACCTCTGCACATCTTTTACTGACTTCGGTGGCTCCATCTCAGCTATTGCTTTGATCTTCTCGGGGTTAACCTCAATTCCCCTTCTGGACACCATGAAGCCTAGAAATTTTCCAGACTCCACACCAAAGATGCATTTTGCTGGATTCCACCTCATTCTGTTCTTTCTGAGATTGTTGAATGTCTCTTCAAGGTCGGTTAAATGATCTTCAGCTTTCAAACTCTTCATCACTATATCATCAACATAAACTTCCAGATTCCGGCCTATTTGAACTCAAAACACGATGGTAACGATCTTCTGGTAAGTGGCACCTGCGTTCTTCAAGCCGAAGGGCATCATCACATAGCAATAGATTTCATCATCGGCATAGAACGAGGTTTTTTCTTCATCTTTAGGAGCCATTGGAACCTAGTGGTAGCCAGAGTATGCGTCCAAGAGACTTAATCTCTTGTTTCTAGAAGCTGCCTAAACCAGCTTATCAATGTTTAGCATTGGGTAACAGTCTTTTGGACATGCTTGGTTGAGGTTAGTGTAATCGATGCACATCCGCCATTTGCCATTTGCCATTTGCTTTCTTCACCAACACAGGATTGGCGACCCATTCGCAGTGATCGACCCGTCTAACGAAGCCAGCTTGTAAGAGCTTTTCAACTTCTTCTTTGATGACCTTTAACCTCTCCCCCCCAAAGAGGCGCCGCTTCTGGGCCACTGGTTTCTTGAGTGGATTGGTGTTGAGTTTGTGTTGAGAAACCGAAGTGGGAATTCCCGGCATATTTGTTGAGGTCCATGCAAAAATATCTTTGTTAGCTCGAAGAAAGGTTATCAGCTCTGCTCTCTCCTCGGGGTTTAGCCGAGTTCCTATCTGTGTTTTCCTGGTCGGATCTCTGTCATCAATCTGTACCTCTTCAACATCATCACCCGGAGCAGCTCGGGTTTCATCTTCAGGTTGGTTATCGAGGATTTCAACCCCCATCACTTGTCGATTGTCATAGACTTCTGATGGAGGGTTTTCTATCGGTTGATCTTTGTTTTTCTGTGGCCTTGTAACTGAAGTGAGATAGCCTTGTAACTGAAGTGAGATAGCAGTGTCTGGCCACTTCTTGGTTACCTTTGAGTGTTGCAATACCCATGGGGGTTGGAAATTTCATGCAGAGGTGAGATTGAGAGACTACAGCTCGGATCTCTGTTAATGTGGGCCGGCCAATGACAACATTGAAAGAAGAAGGCATTTTGACCACCAGAAACCGAACTGACGGAGTTACATAGGTTCGGCCACTTCCAAATGCAACATTCATAGTTAGGATCCCTTCAACTAGAACTGGTTGGTTGTTGAAGCCATATATGGGACCATCATATCGTTGTAGCAGAGCTGGGTCGAGCCTTAGGCTCTTAAAACAGTGGTAGTACATGATATCAGGTGCACTGTCAGTGTCAACAAGTACGCATTGGACTTGACAATTGTTGATCATTACAGAGATGACCAAAGGGTCATTGTGAGGTGTTACCACCCCTTCAAAATCAGCAGGTGTAAAAGTGATTGGTTGATCTTTCCATTCAGCATCATCAATTTTCCTTTTCTGAGATCGGTTCTGGTGCTTGACCTCTCTGACATATAACTTCCTTTGTTTGGAGCTCATCCCTCTTGCTTCCAATCCTTCTGTAATCATGTGTATAATTCGGGCTGGTGGTGGAAGCGGAGGTGGGGCCTGTTGATGTCCCACTCCTTGTCTATTCGGTGGATTACAGGTTCCTTGAGATTGTGGTCCCTGTTCTCTGACAAACCTTGGCTTGGCTGTTCAGCTCTCTGAATGTACTCATTCAACATTCCTTTCTGAGCTAGACTTTCCAGCTCGGACCTCAGGCTGTTGCATTGCTCTGTTGTATAACCGTGATTTTGATGAAAATCACAATATCTGGTATGATCTCAGCTAGCAGCAGCAGTTCTCATTGGGCCAGGATGCCTTAAATCCACCTTATTCTTAATCTGCATGAAATCTATGACCTCGGCAGATTAAAAGGAGTCCAAGTAATTGGGGGTTTACCTGCAGACTGTTGTGGAGGTGCTAAGTTCGGCCTTTCGAATCTCGATGTGGAGGTCGACATCGGACCTCGGTTCTGTGCTATCCTCATCCGTTTCCTACTCGGATTCTCATCTCTCCAGTCTGGGTTTTGGTTCTTAGAGAGAGTTGGCTTCTGCGACAAGGCATATTCCTCAACAGTTATGAATTTGAGGGACCTATCATTCACCTCGCTAAAGGTAGTGGCAGGGTGTTTGAGCAAACTATCTCTGAATCTTTCATGGTTAAGACCTGAGATCACAGCTGCAATTCCCACAGCCTGGTCGAAGGAGCTAACCTCCAGTACTGCATCATTGAATCTGCTCATATAATTCTTCAGAGATTCTCCATCCCTCTGTTTAACTTGCATCAACTCAGAAGTAGTTTTCCTGATAACCTTCTACTGGAAAACTTTGTGGCAAAAGCAGATGCCATTTCTGTATAAGAGCTGATTGACCTCGGAGGCAAGCTGTAATACTAGGTTCGAGCATTACCTCGGAGAGTAGAGGGGAAGATTTTGCACATCAACGCGTTAAAGGCATTCTGAGCTTGCATACAAGAATAGAAAGCATGTAGGTGATCATTAGGATTCTTCGTCCCATCATAAGTCTCAAGCTGAGGTATCTTAAAGCCAGCAGGGTAGGGTTCCAATGTGATGTTGGTGTTCAGAGGGTGGGGTATGGAGTCAGCAGCATGGTGTGGAGGTGGGGCACCTCGCTGGTCAGCTACTAGCTTTTCTAAGCTGTCTAGACATCGAGTGACATCATCAAGGAGGGGTTGCGGAACTGGTGCTATGTGAGACTGGCCCTGAGATTTACTAAGAGCAGGAGCATGCTGAACTGGTTCAGGGTTTTGCTATGGAGCTGGGGGTTGTGGGGCATGGTTGAGTAAATTGATGAGGGGATCACCAGGATTGTTCCGAGCTAAGAGCTGAGCCAATACTAGCTGAAAGACACCAAACTATTGTTGCATGGCAGCAAGCTGAGTTGCAACTATGTCTTGGTTGGCGGTGGAAGCTGAGTTGTGGGTTGAATTGTGTGGTTGATTTTCATCTCCTCTTTCTGCATGGTCAACAGGAGGGAACATGTTTGGGATTGGAGGTGGGAGGTGGGGTGGGAGGTTGCTGGGGACCTGGCCTCGTCCAAGAGGCTGAGATGAGTTTCCAGTTTAGACTGATCGAGTGTTAATCATGATGAGAGCAATAAGGGATCTTTCAGTTTGGATTCTCACAGACGGCGCCAAATGTAATTGCACCAAACCAGAAGTCCTTCTTTAGTCCGTGTCTGCACTTCGGATTGACTTGCAAAGCCCCAAGATGGATCTCGGGGTAGACACTCCGATGCTTAAGTCAGCAATAATCGGGGCTACCTTTAGAGCGGAGATGAAATGAGCTTAGGGTTGATTTCAATTACCTTTTTGATGTGGCCCTTGGGGGGTATTTATAGGCTTCAGTGAGGAACCCACGTGGCATGCCAAGCAAGATAATCAGAGCCTGATGTGTCTATCCAGACGGTTATTTCGGGACCGCGAATTTGAGAGATATTTCGATGCAAGGGTGTCCATCATAACTGCTGTGCAACTCATCATAAAGAATTAGGTACGGGCATGCTTATTGTCGCTGTCATGCAGCTGTTTGAGTGAGAAGCTTTAGATTTATCCTTCACTTCGGTCATAAAGAAATTATTGTCGTACGTTCGAGGCTGGGCACCTCGGACCTATCCTTACACCACTGGTGGCAAGTGCCCACCCCTAGTTGCGTTGATTTGATGAAATGAACGGGAGCAAGCAGATCTT